ATACATTTCATGACTACAGAATTCGGGTAGATTTTCTGAGAAACAAAGGCAGAAGAAAGGAAAAAGTGATTAATTAAATAATAATTGTCTTCTCTATAATAAAAGATTAATTTATACTTGAGGTTCATTACCCATTATATTCACTTTTATCGATACCATTTAAAATAATTTTAGCTTATGTATTTGTTTTAAATTTCTCCAGTGACCTTTTGCTTTCTGTAAGAGAAAATACAAAATAAAACAATTTTTACTGAATCTTTAATTCATAAAAGATTTATTCCACAAATATCCATTGAGTTCCAGTGGGTACCAGAAAGAAAAACATGATTCCCACATTTCAATGTGAAAGAAAAGACAGAATAAGCAAATAAATATATAATGTGTAACACAGGAAGAGGCACAGTGATTTTAAAAGCATAGGAAGGAAGAGAACATAACCATCAACTATTTTATGCTCTGAAAGACACCATTTGTATAGAGATTTTATATAGAAGCAGTATTTCCATTCCATTCATGAGATCAAGTCAGGGCAGGATGCCAAAAGTGGAGAGATAATAATGACAATATGGGTAGGATTTATCAGAAATTTCTCTCTGCTGCCATTGGGAATATCTTTCCACCATTTTTCATATTAGTGATAATGACTGATCATTTTCCTCAAATATTGTGATACATACTACATATTTAGATGGGGGCCATTAGAATGTTTAGTATACGAATTTTATTATGCACAATTAGGAAAAAGATCTCCAATTTCAAAATAAACTTTCTGGGTACTTTCATAGCTACTCTGAACAACTAACTGAATCAGTAAACAAATCTATTTCTCAATTTCAGGTTACAAAAATTGACTTCCTGGGCAATGCCTTCTGCTCTCTTACATGTATTTTGCAATTACAGTTGAGAAATGAGGGTAGAAAAGGAATTAGTGAGGATTTGTTTTTCCTGCCAAGCCTTCCCTTCTTATTGTGAGCAAAAAATACACTTTCTCATTGGAGGATACTTCTAGAAAACATTCATTTTCCCAGACCAGTTCTTCAACTTTAAAAAAACAAGCACAAACAAACAGACGTCATAATTTGGGCAAATGATCATAAAATGTACGACATAAGAAGTTGGCGATTTCTATATTTTCTACAGAAATGTGACAGGTATCACCAGTACTGCCTAAAGGTTAATAATAATGTCGCAAGAAACAGAATGGAAGTCTGTAGCTATGCAGAAAGGAAAGAATTGAATTGCACGTGAGAAAGTAGACTCTAGGACGAGTGTATCTTCAGCTCCAGCCTACTGATAGAAGGGCAGTAACCCCACTTCCAAGACAAATTTACTAACCAAGTTAGAAGCACTTCCTTGAAATACTAGGAATGTTCCTGCTCTGACATGTGTATCCCCAAAATGTTGGAGACCCAACCTCCAATGTGACTATATTTGAAGGTAAGACTTTTAGGAGATAATTAAGTTAAATGAGAGAATAAGTTTTCGATCCTAATTCAGTAAGACTGATGGTCTTAAAGAAGAGAAAGACATCTCTTTCTCTCTCTCTTTCTGTCTCCATGTGCACACAGGACAGGAAAGGCCATGTGAGGACATAGTGAGAAAGCAGCCACCATTGGCAAGCCAAGAGAGAGCCCTCACCAGGAACCATTGGGCCAGCACCTTGATCTTGAATTTCCTAGCCTCCAGACCTGTGAGATACAAATTTCTGTTGTTTAAGCCACACGGTCCTTGATACTTTGTTATAGCAGCCCTAGTAGACTAAGATAGCTCCTGAGAACTTCACCCACAAAATCACTTGTATCCTTACCTGATGAAGATCCATTCTAAGACTTTGTTGGCTAGGTTGAAAGTGACAGCAAATAAAAGCCACCCTGAACTGGGTCTGATGCAGTATTCTTGCCAAACCTCAAATCCGGACCAGTTCATCCTTATGCATTGAGTTTTTTTTATTCATATTTGCTTGTTTCTACCAGCTTAACTGTCAACATAAATTTCATTTATAATACTGTATGTTCAGAGTTCCAAAAAACTGGTCCTACCAACATAGTTTGAAATATGATGCCATTATAAGATGATGACTGCCTCTATCAAATCTTTACTGCCTTTTTCAAATTCTTATCATTTTTATTAAAATCAATCACACTAATCAATCTATACATCCATGTTTAAATATGACTTTTACTAATTTTCTTTCACCAACACTATTTTTAAAAATCTGACAGCATAGAGCAATGATTAAACATATTTGCTTCAGGGTCAGATATAGTTACACTGCCACTTACAAGCAGTTTTTTGGACAATTTATTTTGTTATTTTGAACCATTATTTCTTAAAATGAGCATAAGATAACATTTTCTTAAGGCAAGTGTGAGATACAAATGAGAAAAACAAAATAATAATAAGGATTCAACAATGAAAACTATTTGCATTAAAGATTGATAGAATTAGAAGGACAAATTGTAATTCAGCCTCCCTATAGAAATAAAGTGGCATCTACAGAGCAAATCTAAATAGACTTAATCTACATATAACAATTAATTCCAGATAATTTGAATAGACTATGTTTGAAAGGAGACTCACATGAAACAGAGTTTGCTCTTTTAAACTCTTTAGCCAAGATTTTTTTAAAACTGGGGTATAAATGCTTTGTATTTCCTTTCATGTTTGAAAGGAAAAGAAATATAGTACTTAACAGATTTTCAAGTTTCTCTTTTTTTTATTGTAATTTAGGTTCTGGGGTACATGTGCATATCATGCAGGATTGTAGCATAGGTACACACATGGCAATGTGGTTTGCTGCCTTCATTCCCCCATCACCTATATCTGGTATTTCTCCCCTCATTATTCCTCCCCACCCTCCCCACCCCCGCTGTCCCTCCCAACTGACCACAGTGTGTGATGCTCCCCTCCCTGTGTCCATGTGTTCTAATTGTTCAACACCCGCCTATGAGTGATGACATACGGTGTTTGGTTTTCTGTTCTTGTGTCAGTTTGCTGAGAATGATCATTTCCAGATTGATCCATGTCCCTATGAAGGACATGAACTCATAAGTCTTTATGGCTATGTAGTATTCCATGTTGTATATGTGCCACATTTTCTTTATCCAGTCTATCGATGATGGACATCTGGGTTGGTTCCAGGTCTTTGCTATTGTAAACAGTGTGGCCATGAACATATGTGTGCATATGTCTTTATAATAGAACAATTTACAATTCTTTGGGCATATACCCAGTAATGGAATTGCTGGGTCAAATGGTATTTCTATTTCTAGGTCCTTGAGGAATCACCACACTGTATTCCACAATGGTTTAACTAATTTACACTCCCACCAGCAGTGGCTTCCACAATGGTTGAACTAATTTACACTCCCACCGACAGTGTAAAAGTGTTCTTATTTCTCCACATCCTCTCTAGCATCTGTTGTCTCCAGATTTTTTAATGATCCCCATTCTAACTGGTGTGAGATATTATCCCAGTGTGGTTTTGATTTTAATGACCAGTGATGATGAGCATCTTTTCATATGTTTGTTAGCCTCATCGATGTCTTCTTTTGTAAAGTGTCTGTTCATATCCTTCGCCTACTTTTGAATGGGTTTGTTTGTTTGTTTCTTGTAAATCTGTTTTAGTTCCTTGTAGATTCTGGATATTAGCCCTTTGTCAAACGGGTAGATTGCAAAAAATTTTTCCCATATTGTTGGTTGCTGGTTCACTCTAATGATTGTTTTCTTTTGCTGTACAGAAGCTCTGGAGTTTAATTAGATCCCATTTGTCTATTTTGGCTTTTGTTGTCATTGCTTTTGGTGTTTTAGTCATGAAGTTCTTGCCTATGCCTATGTCCTGAATGGTTTTGTCTAAGTTTTCTTTTATGGTGTTAGGTCTTATGTTTAGATCTTTAATCCATCTGGAGTTAATGTTAGTGTAAGGTGTCAGGAAGGGGCCCAGTTTCTGCTTTCTGCTCATGGCTAGCCAGTTTTCCCAACATCATTTATTAAACACGGAATTCTTTCCCCGTTGCTTGTTTTTGTCAGGTTTGTCAAAGATCAGATGACTGTAGATGTGTGGTGTTGCTTCTGAGGCCTCTGTTCTGTTCCATTGGTCTTTGTCTCTGTTTTGGTACCAGTACTATGCTGTTTTGATTACTGTGGCCTTGCAGTATAGTTTGAAGTCAGGCAGTGTGATGCCTCCAGCTTTGTTCTTTTTGCTTAGAATTGTTTTGGCTATGCAGGCTATCTTTTGGTTCCATATGAAGTTTAAAGTGGTTTTTTCCAGTTCTGTGAAGAAGGTCATTGGTAGCTTGATGGGGATAGCATTGAACCTATAAATTACTTTGGGCAGTATGGCCATTTTCACGATGTTGATTCTTCCCAACCATGAGCATTTTGGAGATGTTTTTCCATATCTTTGTGTCGTCTCTTATTTCATTGAGCAGTAGTTTGTAGTTCTCCTTGAAGAGTTCCTTTACAACCTTTGTTAGTTGAATTCCTAGGTATTTTATTCTCTTTGTAGACAAACCAGTAAATCTGGAAGAAATGAATAAATTCAAGTTTCTCTTTAGACATTCCCTTGTTTAGGCTTGTACTAATCCACTCATTCTGGCTTTGACTGTTGGGTGAACTTCTCTGCCCTATTCCCAGATGTGATATGCAAATCTCCAGGTTTCTAAACTTTATGAATTATTCCCTTCTCTAATGAGGTTAATTAGGGTTTGGGCTGAAACCCAGATTCCTTTATATATGTGGATAGAGTGATGTAGAAGTATTTTATGATAATAAATATAAATGAAATTTAGAGTTTGATATAGAAATAGAAAACATTTAGGCAACTCACTGAATCAAAAATTACAATAATGATCAAACTTATATTGGTAAATGAGTTCTACTTGTAGAATTAGCAAACCAGAGTAACCAGATTTTATCTTGTAGTTTGCTTTGTGGTAGTTCCAACCATCTTGTTCAAGCTGAATTAAGGTAATATTAAAAAATACACACAGAGAGAGAAGCTTAAGTAAATTATTTATTCATTATATTTTCCTGGGTTGGGCTTTGGCCTCTATTTCATCTACTTTGTTTATTTTCAGGATGCTCTGGGATAACATAGTCGAAGTTCTAGTTCTACCTTTGTCACTTACTGGCCATCTACCCATATGATGCTGAAAAATATATTATGTAGCACTAAGATAAATTCAATGTACCTGCATAGTACTATTCAAAATACTTGGACAGTATTATTGTCAATATGTAGCCTAACAGATAAGAAACCACAATAAAAATAGTAAATCAGTCTCCAATACCGCCACTCTTCAGTTTGCCTGAAACACAGATGCGGTTTACGAAGTCTACCAGAGAGGCCTTGAACATCAAAAACATCAAGCCATTGTTAAGTACCTTCAGCCAGGTACCTGCCAGTGAAAATGAAAAAAAAAATGTGCCCTTGATTAAGATTTCAGAGTTGTTCTAGAAAAAGAAACTATAAATCATTCATCATATGAAAACATTTTAGCTATCATTTCTCTTGCTATTGGGTGAGTAACTGAAGCTTAATGGTGAAGAAAACAGGCTGTAGAGCCAGACTGCCTGGGTATTTGTACCACATCTACACCTTTTGTATTGTTGGGAGACGTTTTGGATTGTCTTCCTTTGGATCAGTGTGATATAATATTTATTTCTGTGGAAAAAAAAAATGTTGCTACTTGGAAATCAAATACATTTTATTCTGCTGGGAAAAATTACTTACTACATATGTGCAATGATCTCCTAAGAAGATGATCTAAATCCCAGAATACAGTCTTCTGTGGACCAATTCAGCTCTTTTTGGCTAGGCTTTTCCCTCTATCTCAGAAATCAGGTCTTAACTTGCAGAGTCAGTTTAATCTGGAAAATGTCATTGTTTTCAATACCAATGAGCAGGAAAGCACCCTGGGTCAGAAGCACACTGAAGATAGAGAAGAAGGAATGGATGTAGAAGAAGGTGAAATGGGAGATGAGGAAGCTCCAACAACATGCTCTATTCCAGTTGATTGCAACCTGTATCCAAAATTCTGGTCACTTCGAGATTACTTCAGGAACCTTGTGCAATGCTATGAGAAGATTTCATGGAAAACTTTTCTCAATTATTCTGAAGAAGTTTTAGTTGTTTTTAACAGTTACAAATCAGATGATACTCAGTCCTCAAGAAAAAAGATGGAAGAATTGAAAACAGGAGGAGAGCCTGTATATTTTGCAAAATTTTTAACAAGTGAAAAGCTGATGGATTTACAACCGAGTGACAGTAACTTTGGTTGACACAACCTGTTGCAGTATCTCATTTTATTCCTATATCTCAAAGGGCAGGTCAAATTCAAAAGTTCAAACTATGTTTTAACTGATGAACAATGACTTTGGATTGAAGATACTACAAAATCAGTTTATCAACTACTATCTGAAAACCCCCTGATGGAGAAAGATTTTCAAAGATGGTAGAGCATATAATAAACACTGAAGAAAGCTGGAATTCATGGAAAAATGAAGGTTGCCCAAATTTTGTGAAAGAAAGAAAATCGGATACAAACCTATGAGAATAATTCAAGAAAGAACAACACCTGAGGACTTCCTAGGAAAAGGAGCCAGCAAAAAAATTCTGATGGGAAATGAGGAGTTAATAAGGCTTTGGAATCTTTGTCCTGATAATATGGAAGCCTGTAAATCAGAGACAAGGGAATATACACCCACTTTGGAGGAATTCTTTGAAGAAGCCATTGAACAGGCGGACCCTGAAAATGTGGTTGAAAATGAATATAAGGCTGTGAACAATTCAAATTATGGTCGGAGAGCCCTGAGACTATTAGCACGGAGAAGTCCTCACTTCTTCCAACCAACCAACCAGCCGTTTAAAAGTTTGCCAGAATACCTTGAAAATATGGTAATAAAGCTAGCCAAGGAATCACCGCCTCCTTCTGAAGAAATAAAAACAGGTGAGGATGAAGATGAGGAAGATAATGATGCTTTACTGAAGGAAAATGAAAATCCTGATGTTTGGGGAGACAAACCTGTAACAGGGGAACAAATAGAAGTATTTGCCAACAAGCTGGGTGAACAATGGAAGATTCTGGCTCCCTACTTGGAAATGAAAGACTCAGAAATTAGGCAGATTGAGTGTGACAGTGAAGACATAAATATGAGAGCTAAACAGCTCCTGGTTGCCTGGCAAGAGCAAGAGGGAGTTCGTGTGACACCTGAGAATCTGATTAATGCACTGAATAAGTCTGGATTAAGTGACCTTTCAGAAAGTCTAACTAATGACAATGAGACAAATAGTTAGATTCTTTTTTTTTCTTTTTATTAAAACTGTGATAAGATTTTGTTACCAAGCAGCATTTGATAAGAGGTCCATTGGTTTTAGTAAACAATAAACATTTGTATAACAACAACAACAAAAAAAAAAAACAAGAAAAAGAAAATAGTAAATCATTATAAATATAATGTTTTATAATGATACATCTTTGTACTTCTAATATTATTGCTTTAAATAAATGTGGTATATATTCACCATATGGCCAAAGTTACACAATTTTATATTTTTAATTTTAAGTCATATATAAATAACCTTAATGTCAAAACAACCTTTATAGTGATGGCTCAATATCCCAAAAATGTGGGACCCAACAGGGACATTAATAAAGAGATAAAGTAGGCTCTGTGCCGACTTGTCAGAATGTGGTATGTGGCAAATGTGCAGTTACACAGCTTTAGTCCTCCCTTGGGAAACTGCCCAAACATTTGCCTTCCCACAGTGTATTTATTCAGGAAATACTCTTTTCCTGAGAAAAATCTGGCTCTCAAACCTCTCCCTGAGACTATGCAAGTTCTCCATTGGGGAAATAGAGTTGAAAATCTAGTAAAGAATGTTAATTAATAAAAATCTACTTGCAAATCCTAGTTATTGTCAATATCTTGTTGATTTACAACTGAGAACACTACTTACCTAAAGTAAACTTGAAAAATAGGAAATAGAAAGCTATCAGAATTCCTGTAGCGTTTCTTGTCCCCCTCTCCTCCACCATAGTTTTATTCTAATGTTTTCTTTCTTTATTCATTTTCTTTGGTATTAGTGTGCTGTAAACTCACCCAAAATGAAAAACAGTCAAAGTAAAATAAAATAAAACAAAATGAAAGCACATCAGTTAAAGATTAAAAAGAGAAAAACTGGCTGCCAGGTTTTAGTGGACAGAAGGGTAGGCCCCCTGGAGATGAGACAAATTCAGTGGATGGCAGTAATCAACAAGAGGACAACGACATTAGCCACTGCTGAGCAGAAAATTAGAAAGATTCTTCAAGTTATTTCTTTTCTTCTTTTCTGGTTGTCAGGCTTTGTCTCTTCTGTCTTCCACTGGTACACCATAAATAAGCAGCTAAAGTGAAATTTCTTTCCTTTAGACATGGCAAAGTACTCACTGAGCTTAAAGATTAATAGTAAAACTTTAAGAAAGAAAAAAATTCAGCAATATGTAATAAAGAGAGAAAAATCTGAACTAGAAACTTTAAATTATATAAGTACCATGCTTTTAATATACATGTAAGCACCACATATTTTTTCAGGATTCATTTAAAGATGATAAAATAATGTGTATGCTATAAAACGGATGATAAAATAGATCAATAACTGCCAACTAGTTGTATCATACCTTTCTCAAAATGTTGAACTAGAAATCTAATGTTATAATTTAATCCTATTACTCTCTTTAATTCTATGTGAGCCTCTTGCTCTTTTCTTTTTTGCATCCCATACATCTCATTCTTGTCAATATCCGTTGCCATTCCCTTTGAGGTTTTTTCTTCAAACCACCAAAGCCAAATTGCCAAAATATTTTAGCTCCAATGGATCTGAATCTTTAGAACATGCCTTTTACATTGATACCTGTACTGCCTCACCTTACCACTTGCAGTCTTGCAATTCTTAGCTCCCATGCTTAATCAAATTCATACAAAAATGTCTCTCGGTTTGACCTTTAAACTCTTTCCAAATCACTGTTATTTTTCAATTATATTTTTAGGCCTTCAAAAAGCCTGAGATGACATTCTTAACACAGAATAAGCTCTATAAATACTGAGCTTCTATTTTTACAGTGTACCCGAGGTTTTCAAAAGTTACTTATAAAAATCATAATAGCTAACATTATCAAGCTATTCTCCATTCTAATTCTTTTCTATTTAATCCATTATAATACTATGTGGCATGTTCTAGTAAAGTACCCATTTTATAGATAAGCAAATAGAGATAGAAGCAAATATAGTGTCAGGTTTATATACTTAGTAAGTTACAGAACTGGTGTTTGTATGATCTGTTTTAGTTGGCCAGGGCTGCCATAACAAAGTGCTAAACTGAGTAGTTTGTTATTTCCTCATGGTCCTGAAGGCTAGAAGTTTGAGATCAAGGTGATCAGTAAGATTGATTTCTTCTGAGCTTTTGTTCTTGATTTAAAGATGTTAGCCTTTCCTCTGTGTGTGTCTGTGTCCTAATCTCCTGTTTTTATGGGGATTCCAGACATATTGGATTAGGGCTCAACCCCAATGGCATTTATTCTTTTTTTTATTATTACACTTTAAGTCCTGGGGTGCATATGCAGAATGTGCAGGTTTGTTGCATAGGTATACACGTGCTATCGTGGTATGCTGCTTCCATCCCCCCTCCCTGGCCGTTATCTACAATAGGTATTTCTCCTAATGTTATCCCTTCCCAATCCCCCCACCCCCTGCCAACCCTCATCTGTCCCCCCACCTATTCTTAGTAACCTCATTAGAGGTCTTGTTTTGAAATACAGTTGCATTCTGAGGTACTGGGTGATAAAACTTTAACATATAAATTGGAAAGGGGACACAATTCAGCCCCTAAAACAGTCTTACTACTAACCCCCTCTTCTTAATCACTAAACAAACTTTAAAAAGAAAGGAAAAGCTAGAGAAAGAGAGAGGGAAAGGAGAAAAAGGACGAAGGGAGGAAGGGTGAAACAAAGGAGCTACTTGGGATGGCAGCATGGAGCATTACATGGTTTGATTTAATGGCTTTTAGTTTCCGTAAGGGAGATAGCCATCTCTACTACAGTAATGCACCTGCCAAGCAAACCAGAATAATCATGAAGGCAACTGGAGGCAGAGTGCTTTCCCGAAGATGCTGGAGACAAAATAACTAATTCTTGGGAAGGTAGCTTTGTGTGGCGAAGTGTCCATGAATCCTGGAGTCACTGAGATATGAGTGCAAATATTACTCTGTTTTATTCTATTTGGAAAAGTTATATTTCCTTTATGAACCTCATTTTTCTTGAGATGTACTACATCATACTTCTTATAGGCTAGAATTATTGAGGGGATTATGGTTCATATGAAGTTCATAGAAGAATTCACACAAAGTGAAAATCTCAAAGTTCTTCCTTTTTTCTTTCCTTTCTTGGGTCCTCTCTTAGTAGATTCAATATAGACCATTTACCTGTCTTTCACATATTCTTTCATTAATATTAATATTATAAAGAGTAAATTAGCAAATTATGCTTTTCTTCTAATTACCTCTTTTCTAAGCATATATTTTTTTTGCTATCTTTCCCACAGACTCACGTTTCTCTTTTGCTTGAATTTCAGCAATCATTCTTATCTGTCTTCTTTGACTTGAAAAATATCTATCATTTCAGCAAAATTGTAAAAATGTTGAATCTATGTCACTTGTGTTTCATTTTTTATTAAACATTCGTTAAAACAATTTGAAGTATTTCATACCTTTAAAAATGAAAGAAGCAATACAGGACACAATTTTTAAAATATTTATGGCACCATTTCCTAGTACTTGTTTACTGATCTCTTTACTTTTGGTGGAATTGGTAGAAATAAAACACCATGCATATATCCAAAGATCTATACTGCAGCCTAATTTTAACTCACAACGTTTATTCTAATTTATTAATTATTTATCAAGTATTACTTGTATCAGTCATTGTTTGGGGTATTGAACATAGAGTTGTGAATCCTACGTAAAGTGCCTGTGCTAAGAATAGAAAACATCTGAGTGATAGAGACAGCACACATGTAAGCCATAAATATATAAATGGTGACGAGTGCTATTCAAAAAATAAAGCAAGACATTACTGGTATGAATGAAAAATGGTGCAGCTGCTTTGGAAATAGTCTGGAAGTACCTCAAATGGTTGAACATAGAATTGTCATGTGATTCAAGAATCTTACCCCTAGTGATATACCCAAAAGAAATGAAAAAATATGTTCACACCAAAACTTGTCTACAAATGGTCATAGCAGCATTGTTCATAATAAGCAAAAAGTAGAAACGGCACAAATTTGTATTAACTGATGAGTGAATACATTTTAATATATTTATACTATAAAATATTTTCAGCAATAAAAAGAAGCAAAGCAATAATACATGCTACAGCATAAATGGACCCTGAAAACATGTTAATTGAAGAAGCCAGACACAGTAGGCCACATATTATATTATTACATTTAACTAAAATTTTCAGAATAGGCAATACATACAGATAGAGGCCAAACAATTGTTTTCTAGTTATGTAGAGATGGGGAAATTTAGGGGAAGATGGTGATGCCTAAAGGGTGGAGAATCTCCTTATGGAGGAATGAAATTGTTCTAAAATTGAATGTAATAATATTTGTACAAATCTATGAATAATTAAATTATTTTAAAAATTAAATTTATCTAAACCAAAAATTAGTGCTCATTAAAAGACACTTGTAAGAAAATAGATAAGCCAATAACTGAAAAAAATATTTATAATATATATGTATTTGACAAATAATTTATATCCATTACATATAAAGATTTTCTACAACTCAATAATGAAAAGATAAGTAATATTTTTAAAAATTTAAAAGACAAGTAATATTTTTAAAAAGCAAATTACAGGGATAGAGAGGAGCAAAGAAACTGATGGTAGTTTCTTAAATATGGTACTTGATGAACAACTTTCGGAAGAGAGAATATCTGACTGGAATACCCGGCCAGAGGTCCTGAATAAGAAGGAAGTCTGCCATTTCAATGTCTTGTAGAGGAGTGTTCCCAGCATAGGAGATAGCAGTTTAGAAGTACTAAATCAAGAGTGACCTTGGTATATTCAAGAATCAGCAGTATCAATGGAACCAAAGGATTAATAGGTAGAAGTCATAAAGCTGAGTGATTGCTGGAAAGGCTTACAGGAAATCAAGTTGAAAAAGTAGTTGCAAATGATGTATTAGAACTCTTCGCCTTGGTGAAATGATCCCGTCTCACAATGATGAGGATGATAATAACACAGTTAAACATTTCCCAGCTCCTGCTTCATGTGTCAACCTGCACTTATACAGTTAGAAAAGTTATAACATCAGATGCAATCAGTGTAGGACTGGATTTATCCATAATAAACACACCAATCAA